TCTATTTATTCTCAACTTAATGCCTGATTAGCCAGAGTCAAAATAGCTAGATGGAAATACTACTGCAATTACTAAAACTACTGAAAGCCAGTATGGCTTTCAGCCTTTTACTACGAATGCCCTCACACTCACTTTTTACCAAGGTTGGAGGTCTCATGATTGAGGTAATGAGTACACACTGGTATGGGTGAATCCATGGCTCATTAGTGTCTCAAGTTTTTACCCACTGGGGGAACATAACCTGGAAACTGATTTCAAAGCCATGTTTCTGTATTTGTTAAAATGAACTATGTTTGATACTTCTATTCCATTTTGTTTTATAAATACAAAATATTTTATTTGAAACCTAGTTTTGGTTTGTGCTTCTCTTCAATTTCAACATACAACATGGCTAAACCAGTTCATTTATTCAGCTTATTTTGTAATTAGAGATTTTCATAAGCAAACAAACGAAAAAACAGAAAAAAGTATAATTTGAGGGAGTCACTTTGTAAGGGTTCTTACAATTTCTTCCCACAGAGCCCTATATTTCCCATGTGTTACATTCCATTAAGATTTAAGAGCTCTCAGAGATAAGAAGATTTTTTTTTTTTTTTTGGACACAGGGTCTCACTTTGTTGCCCAGGTGGAAGTGCAGTGGCTCTATCTCAGCTCACTGCAACCTCCGCCTCCCAGGTTCAAGCAATTCTCCTGCTTCAGCCTCCAGAGTAGCTGGGATTTAGGCGACTGCCATCATGCCTGGCTAATTTTTATATTTTCAGTAGAGACGGGGTTTCATCATGATGGTCAGGCTGGTCTTGAACTCCTGACCTCAGGTGATCCACCCACCTCAGCCTCCCAAAGTGCTGGGATTACAGGCGTGACCCACTGCACCCAAATACTTAAAGAAAATCAGGGCCATCAAGAAGTTATAAAATCCATAGATAAAAATAAATGTTCTGGATAAATTCTTTTAAAAAATGGAATCTATCTAAACATTTTGTGGCATGGAGAATGGTGTGGCCTGTGCCCACCTCTCCTCGCTCTTTTCCTATCATTCTCACTGGCTAAGACCTGCAGTTTCCCTACCACTCCAATTTGCTCTGGCCTCTCAGCCTTTGCATGTGAGAATCCATCTGCTTGAGGAAGCTACTCCAGCCTCAACCTTTGTCTCTCCCTCTCCCTCTCTCTTTCTCTGTGTCCCCCACCCATAATCCCACCACAAATACCTTCTTGTAATTCAAGTGTTGGCTAATAATTTCCCTGACTCTTCCAGACAGAGTTAGTCTTTCTCATAGCCTCATGGCCTTGAAAACAATGATCTTTTTGTATTATATTAACTTAAAGGTCTGGTTCTTATTTGATTAACTCCTTCAGGTGAGATGAGAATTAAGCTTTTCGTCATTGCTGTTTTTTTCTTGAAATGTATGAATCTCCAGGACTTAGTCGAAGAGCAGAGTAGAAGCTTAATAAACATTTACTAAAATGTTTGAGGATAGTGAAGATGAGAGAGAAGAAAGTGTGGGCAAGAAAATTTGAATGCTTATAGTGTGTGTGTGTGTGTCTACTTGTAAGGAATGGAAGCAGGGACACTAAATGTATAACCATAGAATGACAGAACCCAAAATTCAATTAGTGAGTACCCCTTTGGGAAGAAGTGACACAGAATGCTTGGAAATGACAACATGGTGCAGTGGGAGAAGGACAGTGGTCAGAGACCTAGGTTTGAATTCGAGGTCTGCTACTTATTTTCTGTGTCAACCTTGGCCAACTGTTTAATCTTTTTGCATCTCAGCTTTCTCATCTAGTAACTGGCAATAGCTGAGCAGCTCCCAAGGTTGCTGTGAAGATGAAGTTAAGTATCTACTAGAATGCCTGAAAATGGTGAGGGCTCAATCAAATGTGAGCCATCACACTATCTTCACCAGAGAGAACAGCTTCACCAATCAGAATTTTTACCTGACTTCTATATAATTAGAAGGACTTGAAGATTAGATACTAAAAAATGAAAATAAAAAACAGAAAAGACAAAACGAAAACCCAAGATGTCACACAATGACATTAGAAACACTGATCTGACCCACCTATATTTCATGCCGGAATTATAATAGACACCCTATAGTCAGGCAAAACTTGGTTATAACATTAAAGCAACATTCTGTGTCTTTTGTTTGCAAGTTTTTTTGGTGTCTTACTTTGACATTTTCTTGTGAGATGTCAGTGACAGCACTTTGTAATTCTATAGCATATGATTTACACACCTATAACCTTTCCCTGCCTAAAACAACTCCTAGAAAACAGGCACACATATGTTTACTGCAGCACTATTTACAATAGCAAAGACTTGGAACCAACCCAAATGCCTACCAATGATAGACTGGATAAAGAAAATGTGGCATGTATACACAATGGAATACTATGCAGCCATAAAAAAGGATGAGCTCGTGTCCCTTGCAGGGATATAGATGAAGCTGGAAACCATCATATTCAGCAAACCAACTCAGGAACAGAAAACCAAACACCGCATGTTCTCACTCATAAGTGGGAGTTGAGCGAAGAGAACACATGGACACAGGGAGGGGAACATCACACACCAGGGCCTGTTGGGCCCTGGTGGGGGGGATTAAAACACAGACGAAGGGTTGATAGAAGCAGCAAACCACCCTGGCACATGTATACTATGTAACAAACCTGCACATTCAGCACATGTAATCCAGAACTTAAAAAGAAAGAAAAAGGGGAAAAAAAAGGAAATGCTTCTCTTGGAGAAAAAACAAACAAAAAACCTCCCAGAACTCGCTATTGTTTTGGTAAATATTTTGTTTTGGTAATAAGGGAATATAAAGGTGAAGCAGGAGTTTCCCCCTTTTTTCTACAGAGCAAAGGACTAAAAAGAAAAAGAAAAAAAAGAAAAGAAAAGAAAAAGAAGAAAAAAAGAAAGACCTTCTCTGTATGTAAAAGACAATATTAGGGCAGCTGATGCTTTCAAGGAGGAGTACGTGTAACAGTGGAGTCCATCACAGAAGGTTGGCAAAAACGAGTGAAACAAATGACGCCAAATGGAAGGGCCAACAGAAGAGGAAGGGAAAAAAGCAAATGAACAAATGGGAGTGGACAAACATAAACTATGAAAGTTTTGCGAATCACATTTTCACAACAAAAATGACAAATCGATAAAAATCTTTATACACACACACACACACACACACACACACACAGACAAATGAAAATGTGACAAATTAACTTAAAAAACACTTTGTCTTATTTAGGCAATCCCTTTAGAAAAAAAAAATCATAGACTACAGAATGGGAAGTCCACTACGTATCCTGTAACGTATGTAATACTGACATTTAAAATGAGTAAATATTATTTACCTTCCCCAAATTTCCCAAGACTAAAGACTAATGGCACAGAAACAAATCAGTTCAATGTAAAAACATGAGGGTTTATCTTATATTTTATATCACAATACAGCAAACCGAGGAAGCTACTTTGTCTCTAAATTTATTGAGTTGAATGAGTATCTAACCGAACAAGTCAATTAAGAATTTCTTGGTCAGCTCCTGTCATCTGGATGGTCTCCCTGCTCTTCTTTAACAAGATTAGAACAAAACACCACCATGTGTAACTTTGTTAAGCTTTTAACTCATGCTCTTTCTCTTCTTCAAAACCCAAGTCAAACAAAATCTCCTTTACATACCTTCAACCTTTACTGCTGCTGCTCTGGTTCAGACTCATGTTTTCTTAAACGGACGGCTGCACTACATTCCTAATTAGTCTTCCTGTCTTCAGCCTAACCCATATCTCCCACCTATCTTTAACTCTGCTGCCAGAGACATATTTCTAACATGCAAATCTAATCATGTTATCCCAATTCCACTTTCCCTCCATCCATGCCTTATAATTTTCAGTAGGCTAGCCTCCCCATTACCTACATAATGAACTCTAAAATGTCTGACATGGCATTCAAGATGTTTCAACCTGTGGTCTTTACCGATCCGCTCCCCTACAGATCCCATGCCTACAGATCTTCTATTTAACCAGTTTTGAATTTACAGTTCCCCACCATTCCAATCGCGGTCTACCTGCCTGCAACATTCTGCTTCTGCTTCTGTTTATCTTCCTGACAAGTTTCTCTAACTTATTTCTCAGGCCTAAGTTCAAATAATTCCTTCTCTGTGAATCTTCCCCGACTCTTCCGGTGGACTGCTATTCCCTCATCTAAACTCCTACTGCAGTTTGTATATACTTTTAAAATTGCAACTATCATACTGTGTTTTCTCAGCTTTATTAAAGTGTAATTGACAAAAATTGTATATATTCGAGGTGTACAACATGTTATTTTAATATATGGATATGTTGTGAAACTATTTCCACATATCATATTGTACTTAGCATACTACTTGATACATATCTATTGAGTGAATGAGAGTTTCGACTATGTAAATAAAGAAACTCAGAATATAAAATAAAATATTTTACAATTGTGATAAGGCTAGGAGAAAACAAGCAAACTCATCTCTACCAAACTCAGTTTTCATGTTATAAATCAAAACCCTATTGTATCAGAGCAAGGCAAGGTGCTTTTCTGTCTCAAATATTTCTCATTCTACTTCCATCACTTCCTTTGTGTTTTCTCTGCTTCTGGCTGTAGCCATCAATCATAATGAGAAGAGCAGGCCAGAGCACCAGCAACCACATTGCTCCTCCGGCCGTCCTTTCTCCAATCACGCTGACACTCAGACAAATATACTTCTTCCTGCAGAGCCCCCGGACCCTGCCAATGGAATGTGGACACATCAGACCTCAGATGTAGCTGTTGACACTGTGTATATTAATAATGAACTTATTACCTGACTTTTAATTACACACAGAACTAAGGAAATGAATAAAATGGACTTTGAGAAAGGCTGACGTCATCAGGTAGAAATGCTGCTGAATCTGCGCCTGCAGGCCCGTTTCTGCACACAGTGCAGTGGCTCACATCTGATCGTGTTAGAGCCAGTTGTGTCCCAGTTACCTGCTATTTTGATATTCATGTTGTTATCCAGCAGGAGATTTTCAGCTTTGAGGTCACGGTGCACAACCTTCCGACCATGACAATAATCAACAGCAGACAGGATTTGCCAGAATTTTCTCCTGGCTTCAGACTCATTTAGCCGGCCATGATTAGCAAGATAGTCTGTAAATGAAGAGAGGATTAGGAATTAGTCACCAAACTAAAATAACTCCACCATTAGTAGTCAGGAAATTTTTTTCCTCAAAGAGCTTTTTTTTTTTTTTTTTTAAATAAACAGTAATTATCGATAAAGTAATATGGTGCTTTCCGAGTTTCTTGCCTTTGGAGAAATATTTCCAATCATATTTCACTGGAGTCCAGATAAATGGTGAGCAGCATAATATTCACAGTACAACTGAAAGTGATTTTTTAAATGTCTAGGTACTCTATTTGTTGAAAAGTTTATTATTTCACACCTAAAAAAATAAAATTTATGTAAAACAGAGGAAATGAATGAATTCTCTGATATCTCGTCACACAAAAGACCTTTTCTGAAACACTGTTTTCATGCAATTATTATACAAACCACCTGTAACACAAGACATGGTGATACCTAGAAGTAGTTCAAATAATTTACACCCTGTTCTGTTGGAAGGAATTCTCATCTGCCCAAGAACACGCAGACTTGTTCTCTAAACCAAACACTGTCATGACAACCTGTCTCCAAACTGTAAGGCAAATATATTTTGCAAAATACACTATCTTTATGCAATGTTATAATCTTTATTAAAGCAGCTTATCTGAAAATTAGTTCTACATAACTATACACACAAACTCAATAAAACTAAACATTACCACTCATTAAAATTTCACCCAAAGATCTGAAAGACCTCTGAAATTATCTTTTGATCAACACAAAGAAGTATCAAGAAAATCTTGAAAGACTTTTAAATATAGCGTTAACTGTCCTAACCAGGGAACTGTATGAGTGACTCAGTATGCCCAGTCCTGCACATCTTTTCTGCTTTAGTGTTTACTAGCTTGCTATTTTTTAAATTCCCTGACTTTGGCCCATGCCTGTCTCAATATTTACTACAATTTTTTATTTATTTTAGTTTTTCGTGACAGAGTCTTACTCTGTCACCTAGGCTGGAGTGCAGTGGTATGATCTTGGCTCACTGCAACCTCTGCTTCCCAGGTTCAAGCAATTCTCATGCCTCAGCCTTCCAAGTAATTGGAATTACAGGTATATACCACCACACCTGGCTAATTTTTATATTTTTAGGAGAGATAGGGTTTCACCATGTTGGCCAAGCTGGTCTCGAACTCCTGACCTCAGGTGATCTGCCTGCCTTGGCCTCCCGAAGTGCTGGGATTACAGGTGTGAGCCACCTATTAACTATAAAATTAATATTCACACAGTACAGTTTACAAAGGATGTTCATATCACAATGTCTTATTTCATCTTCCTAAACCCCTCTATAACTATTACTCAATTCCCATTTTATAGATGAGAAAGCTGACAATCAGAGGGATTAAGTAATCTGGCTGAATTTGTACAACTGGTGACTGAATAGTCAATCTGGGGCTGGAATATTTGACATACTTTTTTTTTTTTTATTATATTAAGGGTCTTTACCAGGCTTCTGTTGAAATCCTAACAATCCTTTTATTTTATTTGTTTATTTTTGATTCAGGGTCTTGCTCTGTTGCCCAGGCTGGAGTACAGTGGCACAATTATGGCTCACCTCAACTTCAATCTCCTGGGCTCAAGCCTCCGGAGTAGCTGGGACTACAGACGCATGCCACTACATCTGGTTAATTATTAATATATGGAAAGAGACCCCAAACTACTGACTACAAAATGAGCCCTGGGAAGCACAATGGAATCTATAGCTATTGTTTTCTGAAGATATCAGTCCATATTGGGAGGACCACAGGCAAGGGGAAAGGAAAACTTTGAAATGTGGCAGCAGGAAAGTCACTGTCTGAAAAACAAAGGCATGGTATATCTGAACCTAACATTGCCACATAAAGCCAGAGTCATCACATATCAGTAAATGTATAACACAGAGCATGAGAAAAATGACAACATCCAAATTCCCGAGACAAACTATCTAAAGAGGTGGCACCTTCACTCTTCAGGTGAAATCTCAGCAGGCATCCCAGCCTATCTATTATCTTCCCCATGCTTTATGATTTCTGCAATGTAGGCATCCCTGAAAACTGTAACATCTGCTGAGAACTCAGTAATAGAAGTAAGTGAGCCACAAACCTGTGGCTGCAAATAAAATCAGTTTAGGCACACATCATCTCCTTCGAGGAACACAAGCCAAGCTCAAGTTAATGCACAAAGTCTTGAAGTTAACATACAAAAAGCACTCTCATGTTTCAGATTAAAAACCTTATTTATGGCTGGGTGCCATGGCTCATGCCTATAATCCTAGTACTTTGGAAGGCCAAGGTAGGTGGATCACCTGAGGTCAGGAGTTTGAAACCAGTCTGGGTAACACGGTGAAACCCTGTCTCTACTAAATAAACAAAAATCAGCTGGGTATGGTGGTGGGTGCTTGTAATCCCAGCTACTCAGGAGACTGAGGCAGGAGAATCGCTTGAACCCGGGAGGTGGAGGTTGCAGTGAGCTGAGATGGTATCACTGCAATCCATCCTGGGCGACAGAGCAACTCTGTCTCAAAAAAAAAAACACCTTATTTATGATTATAGAACAAACTTATGAATGTAAGAGCAATTGTCTATACTAATTGCTTATGTGTATATTTTTGAGAGCTTGTTTGGAGGTTCTAGCAGGGGAATGCAGCTACTCATATGCCCTTGACCAAAGATCGGTCCTCTATCGGGGGTGGCCGTCCTCTTTGACCGAGTGTGCAGCTTTGGGAGGGACGCACATGGAGGGGTGAGGAAAGAAGGGGATGCCCACCTAGCCAGCCAGATCAGCCCAATCAACCCTGGCGATCAGTGGGGTGACAGATGGAGCAGCCAGATCACCCTCATATCTGCTTATGTGTGTATTTTTGATGAATAAATACAGGTTTTAGAAAATTCTTATTTCCTATGTTTCTGTTTGTTCTGATTGTTAAGCGAAATGTAATTTTATGTTTGTTAACTTCAATAACGAAAACTTTTACGGTTGTATTTTGTATGTCAACATCCCCACCAGTTTTGTTTTTCTGGTAATTGATTTTTATTGCCTTTTACAAAAATCATGGTCTGCAACAGACTAATTTAAACTCAATACTGACAGTTTGATAGTTTGAGAAATACTAGTACAGGCAAGGTAAACAGGCCATTACAATGCACTGTGATGAAAGTCAGCACAGGGAGAACTGCATGATAAATACATTATTACACAGATATCTTTAGAAAATGTTCTAATTTTTTATTATGAAAGTTTTGTACTCCATAAAATTACATTAAATAGTGTAATAAATCATCCAAATTCAAGTTATCAACATTTTGTCATACTTGTTTCATTTATCCTTTTTTCTCATGTAACATAAAGCAAATTTTGGCATCAATTTGTTTCACCCTAAACACTTTTCTATGTATCTCTTAAAAATGATGTTTTCTTATATAAGTGCAATATCATTATCAAACCTAACGTAATTCACCGTTCCCTAATATCATCTAACACCCAGTCTGAATTCAAATCCCCGTAGTTGGCTTGTTTGAATCAGGATGCAAACCAGGATGAACATTTTCTATTTGTTTGTTTTGTCTCTGGAGCCTTTTTACTCTGAACAGTACCCTTACTCTTACCCTCCCCCTTTTTCCTAGGCCACTGACTTGAAGAAACTGGGTTGGTAATCCTACATTCTGGATTCTTCCTTTCCTTCCTCACATTACTGTCTAACTTATTCTTCAGTCTGCTACAGCTTCTATAAAAAACTGAATAGGTTCACGTTTAATATCTTTTGGGAGTGGCAAGAATACATCACAGGTGCATCTACAAGGAGGAATATAACATCTGGTTCCAGTGCTAAGATTAGTCAGTAAGTACTGGAAATGAGAGCCTGATCCTTGAATTAAAGATTCTTATCAGTCTTTCTCCCAGTATCATGGTTCTCAAACTCCGATGATTATCACAACTGTCAGAGGGTTTGTTAACACACAGCTTACTGGGACCTACCCTTAGAGTTTCTGACATGGTTGGTTTTGGAAAGAGTCTGATATTTCGAATTTTTTTTTAAAAGAAATACCCAGGTGGTGTTTAAGATGCTGGAACAGGGGCCAGACTTTGAGAACCATAGCACTAATAGTTTTAGTATTCATTGGTGGATGTTACATGAATCAATGATTTCATTACGGGTTGCAAAACTGTGATTTTCCAATGGATTCCTGCCACACTTATTAGGGAAAATTCTTCTGTAGAGAAGCATTTTTTCTTGTCAACCAGTTATTATTCTGAGAAACAACTTTGATATGTAGGGATAATGAATGCTAAATTCCTCCTCTTTAGGTACCAATTTTCAAAGTAAGGAGTTGGCACACTAGCCACTTCCAACAATGACCATCAAGATTTGTGTGTGTGTATGTTTGTTTGTTTTTTGAGACGGAGTCTCACTCTGTTGCCCAGGCTGGAGTGCAGTGGTGCAATCTCGACTCACTGCAACCTCTACCTCCCAGGTTCAAGCAATTCTCCTGCCCCGAGCCTCCCAACTAGCTGGGATGACAGGTGCGTGCCATCATGCCTGGCTAATTTTTATATTTTTAGTAGAGATGGGTTTCACCATGTTGGCCAGGCTGGTCTTGAACTCCTGACCTCAAGTGATTCACCCGCCTTGGCCTCCCAAAGTGCTGGAATTACAGGTGTGAGCCATCACACCCGGCCTGTGTGTTTGTTTTATTTCCCAGTCTTCTTTTCTCTTTCTTTCACGATTCAAGCAACATAATAAATAACTACAAAGGAGTAGGAGACCAGCCTAGGCAACATGGTAAAGTAATGTTTCTACGAAAATAAACTATTACCTTCATGTGGCTGATCTTTATTATTAGCTGAATGATGTTGGTTTTTGCTCATAATCTTCTCATTTAGTACCTATCTGAGGGTGCCTTTCGTCACCCTAGTCAATGCCACTCTGGCACTGGGCCTTCTGCTCACAGACCCTACTGAAAGTCTAATGAAAATGATACCATACATACATATGCACATATACAATTTAGTA